CCCCGCGCCCCCCCACCCCCCTCGCTCCTGCGCGGGGCTCCTGCCGCCGCTGCCGTGGGGGCTGGAGATGCGGGGTTCGATTTACCGTGGCGCTGCTTGGGCCGCCGTTCGCGCGCTGATGGTCGCAACTCTTCGTCCAAAACACGCAGGGGGCCAGGGTACGGACGCGGGATTCGGCGCGCTCCAGACCCCTGAGCTCCGAGAAACTTGGATTCAGTGTGTTCCTGCCAGGTTCAGCTGCGCTGATTTTGGAAAGAGTTGTTGATAAAGTTGAAGCAGAAATCGCCCCCAGTAGTGGCCCACTAAGCTCTTCCCCTGGGCCCGGCACCGCCCCGTCCCCCTGGGAAGTGGGATGCGCCGCTGCTCGGAAGACGCCGAGCGCCGCTTGCAGGCTTCTGGCTCCCGGTATGGTGCTCCCAGCCGGCCTGAGGCTTCTAGCTCACTGGGGAAGTAATAAATCAGTCTTACCCCCGGGGCAAAGAAGACCACAGTTTTCTGCAGAATCCTGCTGGCCGGCCCTCTACTCCCTGCTTTACTTACCTGTGGACGGGGGCTGCGTCGGTTTTATACCGGGCCAAGATGCTCTCCCCATCAGCACGCATAATGATGTGTCGTCAGGTGTGACAGTCCTCCGGAACTGGGGTGATGGGGGTCGCGAGTGACTGTTGTAACTGACAGTAAAATATCCATACTTACCTTACTTCTTGGTTTAAGATGAAGTCAGATGATTTGATGATTTAATGACTTAATGGAAACACTTTTTGGGATGTGGGAAGTCATTGTTGAGTTAGTTTAAGTACTTTTTTAAGAAAGTAAGGAAATCCACATAAATTTCTCCTCCCTCTCCTCTGCCCCTCTCCCCCAAAGACTAAGCCATAGCCTCAATTTAAGCCGTCAGAAGCGGGTGGGGAGCAATTTTAAAAGCCTTCAAAAATCAAATGGTAATTGGGTGGTTGTTAGAGGTACAGAAGATTAAACCACAGTTGAAGCCTCAGTTGAATGCTCTAGGATCAGGGCCACGCAGTAAACAGCGCTGAGCTCTTGGAAGCGTTTGGCTGCCTCCTGCCTTGGTGGAGTTTTTAGAAGTTTGACAAACTTACAACAAAATTATCGCTGTGCTATTTTCGGAAACCTCTCTCAGCCAGAGGATCCTTCTAAATTTAAATGTTGCTGTTTGCGGCTTTATTTTTCCGTGAGTCTTACAGAACCTTCTGAGTGCAAGGACTCTTGGAAAGTGACTTACTTAACTCACATGGGTTTTCAGCCTAGAAACATAGTCAAAGAACTCGATTTAGCCCTGTTTTGCAGAAAAATCCAAAACGCCATGAGTACAGTTCAGCTCATTTTTTCCCCTTGTGATTCAGATAACCTGTACAGATGAGCTGTTTCTAGAACAGAGTTTGTGTGTTGTAGGAGGGAGAGTAGCTTTCTCAGCAAATAGCTCAAGCAGCATTCCCTTTGGGAATGGATAGGGGCACAGACCTTTCTAATTCCAGTTTAAAAATGAAGGTCATAAGGCTTTCATTGACTGACTTCCTATCTTTCCATTTCTGGGCCCACCCACCCCCCTTTGTAGGCTGTCTGAAATAACCCTGAGCCTCTTCCCTCCACCCTTCATTTCTCAAAAACAAAAATTATATTAGAGCATTAAAGGGTTGATGGAAATGAGAGGACATTATGAAGGGAAGACAATCTCAATTCAGCATGCTTCAAATAAATCATTTCTAATACTTTTAATTTAGTCTCTGGGTTTATGGTCATTCAGAAAGCCCTTGAATTGTTATTTGATGTGAAGACTTGTTTAACAATTGTTTGCACAGAAAAAAATTTTGTCAAAATTTTGTAACACATTCACTAGAGTTGGTAAAATAGTAAATTCATTTGTCAGCCGCCCCCACAGTGAGTGCTCAGCTGGCATAAATTTACAGGTTGTAACATCATCCCTCCTCCCTTGCTTGCAAATATTTTACCATTTTTCATGATGTCACTATTAATTCCAAACTTTGTTGTAACTAATGGCATTCAAAAACTTGATAATGCCTTTCTTCCCACCTGTGTTGGGAAATTCCTCTCGTTTTAATTTGCTTTATAACTTTAAGCATAGTAATGCCCCAGAAAGGTTAAGTCACATAATAGTTTCATTGGCAGATAAAGCGGTCACACCACAAGGCAGTCCTTACTTTAGCTTTACTGTTTCACTGACAGCAATTCAGTCTTTTCCAGGATGCGCCTCTGTAAGTCTCTACTTTACTGCGTGTAGTTTGGAAAGGAAACTGTTTTTGGAAATGTGCTGTGGGTTTTCTCTAATCCTGGACAAATTGGAGCCCCAAATTTGAAGGTGCTGTAGGCTCAATGCCAGCTTGTGTGAATTGGCAGAGCTATCTTCCAGAACCTTTTTCCATAGTCTGCATTGTGCATAACAGGTTACCTGGATTTTTCTATCCCAGCATGTCTGTCCCTGAGAGCCTGTAAGTTTCACTTTCAGGGAATGTCCTTCCTGGGCACCAAGATAGGTACAGACACTCGTTCTTAGCAAATGTTCATTTTCAGCAAAAAGACGTTTTCAATGGAAGTTGAATGCACAGAAAGGGATGAGTCACAATCTTGATTTTAAACATGGTGTTGTCATTAGCCCTTTTCTATTTCATATGATGTTAAATAATATAATGTATGTCTATGACCCATTGCAGAGCCCAAGAATCTCCAGAAGCAACCACTTTATTTAATTTAGTTCAAAATGTAAATGAAATTGTCTAATATCAAGAAATAAAACTTCATAACTGTCTCAAAAGGAAATAGCTCAACAGCCTTATAGTAATTAAGGAAATGAAAAAGTCATTTAAAACTTTCCCATAAGAAAAAGTATAGGCCCAGAGGACTTCACAAAAAAGGGTTCTACCAAGCACTCAAGACTAGATATAATTTTTTACTTTATACAGACTCTTCCAGTGAATTAAAAAAAAGAGGATACCCCAGCTAATTATAAGAGAACAATAATTAGAAGAGAAGTTCAGGAGTAAAACAGAATCTTTTCACCCAGTAATATACACAAAACTCAAAATATCAGTAAGACAAATCTAATTGGGTGTTAGGAAAAAAAGACAGTACAGTCCAACCACATCAAGTCATCCCAGGAACATGAGCTTAGTAAATATTTCTCGAGCACTTGCAGGGTCCAGGTGCTGGTGTCAGTCTGCATGAAGCAGAAGTGAAACCACCAGTTCCCACCTCATGGGATTCATACAGATAAGATTATTTTAGAAAATGTAAAGTACTGTAGTGGAATTAAACAGATTGATGTTGCCCAGTGACTAGACACAGCCACTTTAAATTGGGGAGGTGACCCTTACAGAGAATAAGGAAGCAACCAAGCAAAAAAGGAGGGTGAGCATTGCATGCATATGATGCAGTGCAAACACCCAGAGAGAGCCAGATGAGGTTGCTTGGTGCTGGAACCCAGAGAGAGCTCTCCTGCCCACCCACTTGGGGGCTGCATGCCTAGTTGGACAGTACTTGAAAGGGTTTCTTTAACATTAGACCTTAAAAAGTAACTTGTTATAAAGCACAGGAAGTATGTTATGGGACAAATGTGTCCTTCAAGAAGTGACTGACTCTCAAATGTGTCTGTGGGTTTTGTCCTTGCGCACTGCTCTCTCCCCAGACTCCATCTGAACGGGCTCAACCTCT